AAAGACCCAGAATGCACAGAGTGCAAGAAGATATCAAAATTCAGTAGTTTTCTGATCTTTTGGTTTTTCAGGCACTCTTGCAGTTTTGGAAGGGCGCATGACTCATGGTCACAGGTGCTGAGAACTGACTGCTGTCGATCCCAGCGGGTTTCAGGCTACCCCCTCGGAGGGAACGATGCTCACTCACTTTCACTCCACGCGTGTGACTGAACAGGAGATCCTTAGCGTGTGCACAGGCTTGGAGCTTTAGCTTCAACCCACAGTTTATACAGGGGCAAACACACTTCTCCACACAGGAAGCCAGGCAGGAAATCAGTTACCACATTTTTCAAAACTATGGTACAGTCTTTTAAGTCATGCATAACGTACTCCATTGGTGCTGGATCTTTTCTCCTAATCCTCTGTCCATATTCTTTATATCCTTACCTCTAAATCCCTTTCCTTTTTGGATCTTGCACTCTCTACGGGGCAAGCTCACTCTCCAGGTATTAGTGACCATTAGTATGTGCTTTGTCAGTCATTAAAGTGAGATCTCAGTCTTGCATGGGACTGTTATCATTAATGTCTTCACATCCTAATTTCCTCTTCATCCAAGACTTCTGTATGAAAGTATCATGTGTGTATACACCAGAAATGGAACCTGCATCAAAAAATTAACTCTGAGTTGTCCATAGGATTTAGCGTCATTCACTTCAAGTTTTTACTTGTTGCTTTTCTTCAGGTGTGTCCTTACTGCAAGCCTGAAAATACTCAATAACAATGTTTTATCAATATACATTAGATTGAATACACAAGCTTGACTGTATGTACTATTGATTGCACTAGTGATTGTTACCTGGGGAGGGTCAACAGTATTCTGCCTTACTTTGGGGTCCCGAAATCATCTGTTTTTTTGTTTTGTTTTGTTTTTTAAATACATTCAGTTTTCATCTAAATGTAGTTGCAGATAGTCATTTGCCACAGTAAGTAGGGAAGTGTACTGCCTTTCATGCCAGGAAGAATAAGCATCGCAGTCATAAGTAAGAGCCTTGTTGCACTTTTTACCAGTCTCTTTATGAGAGCTTATTAATCCTGCATTCTCTGCTTTCACTGAGAAATCACACTTTGTACATAGATAAATATTTGAGAAAAAAAAATCTAAGGTAAATATGCATTTACAGGTGCATTTTTAGTATTGGTTTACTTCAGTGCATAAAGTATAAAACCATTATTAAACACCTGCTCATTTGGAAAAAAAAATCACAATGAAATAGCTCCCAACTTTCACAGAAATCAGCCTCTAGTAACTAACTGGCTTGTCTTCTAAATTGTAAACAAATAAGAAGACTTTTCAGAGGTCCCTGGTAATCCCCAAGGTCCCTTCAATTCCTGAGTGGTGGAGGGAGGATTCCTCCCTGAGAACCTTTTGCCCAAGGCTGCTCTCCTCTGCACTGAAGAGGGTCATGGCAGCGAACCAGAAATGTTTGTGAGTATTGATTGTGCAGAAAATGACATCCCACTGGTTTCAAGAGGATATATAGCAATCTAATTTTTAAGACGGAAATGTAAAGCTGAGTAGAAAAAACAATAGGTGCTATGGAGAGGAATCATGTGAAAAAAAGCATCTATGATATCTTTAAAATTAGTTGCATTACTTGCCCAAACTCTGAGGCTTCTGCAGGCTATCAGAGAAATGATGTTATTTCAGGATGGAAACTGTCAGTGAGATTAATGTACTCAGAGATTTGTATGTATTGATCATCTACTCTAACCCCTTCCAAATGTTGACCACATATAAGCAACATCTGTGAAAATTAGACTGCTGTAATTAGTTGTTTGAATGTGGATTTGCAAGCTTATTTTAGGTGCTCTGAAATTTTAGTTTGAGCTTTTAAACAGGACACATTACTTCTGTCATTCAGAACTGGGGGTCAGCGAAGCTGCTAGCTGCCCCTTTCTGTTATTTTATGATCTGCTAATCAGACATGTCAGATATAGGTGAGTCTCCTATTTTTGGTGTTTTTAACCTCTTCTTAACAAGTAGCCCTATCAAGCTGGGGAACTTCTCTTCTCGCTCCGTTTCTACCGGCTGTTTCAGTTGTCAGTTAGCAGTAACGGCTGCTGGGCTGACATTGCTTGCTCAGCAGTGCAATTTCCTTTCAGCACCCTTTTCAAGGAAGTGAAACCTCTGCAGTGTATTTTTGCTTTTAGAGGTGCCAGAGTAAAATTAAGTACTCTCAAACAGAAGAGAAAGGTAGTTGAGAAAAGCTGCTGAAGAAAGGAAAAAAATATAAAAACCCTTAAGTCTGTGATAGGTTCTGACAAGTGTTTCAAAGTGTGTGGTAATGTATGTGCTAGGTTTAGCTGAACAAACAAGCAACAGGCTTCACCTACGATACTTTGCATCAGAACGTGAAACGTGTTTCTGCTGTTGGTAATTGCAATTCCTTTTGATGAGCAAGTAAGTAATAATTTTAGTTTTTCTAAGGAGAACTTCTGCTGCGTTCTAGAAGATCAGTACTTAAACGCAGTTTTATTGAGGCAGGTGGCTGTGAAATAACAGTTCTTTTTGTTTTCAGTGATGAGAAAATAATCTGTTTATAATAAAATACAAACAATTTGCAAATTCCTTTATGGGGGCTGGCTGACAAACAGAAGTACGAAATTAATGGATTTAACAATTAAATGAGAACACAATAGAGCAAATGAAGTTGACTCATCTCTTATTGCCAGCTAGAGACAAAGTAGGCCATGCTGCGTAGTTTCAAAACTTGAAAAATTTTTAGAAATATCATTAAAAGTTTGATACTTTTTAAGTGAGCAAGTCCTGTCCTGTTCTGCACTGATAATTATGTTCCAGGCTGCCTTCATCAAATCTTAAATCATGTCAGGCATGTTACTTTAGTATTGAAAAGCTTTCATATTTCAATGTTGGGAAAACAGTAAAATTTTGGATTGCTTAACACTGCTATTTTGTGTATTGCTATTTGGAAGTTGTTAGCACAAATTGGGGTGTATATGGCTTGTTGGAGGCAGGTTGTACTAATTCTGTTCAATTCTAAAGTATCATACTTTTAAGTCTTGTGGTTCTAGTTCTTTTTATATTAAAAATAGATAACTCATACAGCTCGTGTTTATGTGTAGATCTTTGTAAAACTTCATTAGCTATTCGGTTCTACTGTTTGATCCTCCTTAGAAATATTCTGATTAGTTTTATTTGAATAATAACAGATATGATTTTATATTTAAAAACTGAAACATTGAATCAAATATCTTCAGTTCAGACCACCTACTTAGCATCTTTAACTTCTTTCCAGATCAATGTGGTTTAGAGATGCATCTGTCTTGTGATCTTGAGTGGTATCCCTAAAATAGTTGAGACTGGGTTCTTTGGTTTTTGAATATCTACTACAGTAAAAATGTAAAAATATGTGCTATTTTTAAAAAGGTGCTCAAACAATTAATGCTTCAAAACCAATTATACCTATGGACCAAAAAACTGAAGAGAGATGATATTTTGAAAATTTGCCAGATCACAGAAAACAAGCGTATTAAAAAAATTCTCAAAGGTACTTACTGAAGGCAAAGTATAGATTTGTATTTCAGTCATCCTTCAGGACAAGGATTATTTTTGGTTTTTTATTTGTTTTGTCTTTTTTTCTTCTGGAAACCCAGAGATACTCAGACTTTTAAGAAACCCAGTTGTCCAAATACAAACAGCTAATAGGAAACTTTTTTCCAAATTCAGGGACTTATCTGTATGGCATCTGTAGAGTTTGTTTCCATTAAAAAAAACAAACTCAGCCCCTGCGATTGCACAGAAAACTTTCCATATGTGAAAGAAATATAACCAGATTAAGGGTTCCCTTCAGCACGTTTGAGACTCTGAGAAAGTTGCATGCTGAAGGCAGCCACCTCCCAGGCTGTTCAGTACCGAGACTTTGAGTTCACACGTGACCTACTAGAAGCACTTATGAGAACATGCTGTACGTAAATGGCACTGATAACTGAACACGTGAGTGAAAATTTCACAAAACAAGTTTCTGAAAGAATGCGTGAGAATATTTTTGGTATTTGAATACTTTACAAAGACTGCAACCAGTTACTGAGTATATTGATGCAAACTAGCATAGCTTTGGAGGTGGAAACTTTACAATCTACTTTAATAACCGGAAGAGGATTCCTTAATAAAGTCATGCTAACAAGTGTAATAGCAATTCCCATACTATTTTTGGCTACCTCTCCATTAAGTATAGGACAAAAGATGGTTTCTATATACTAACTATATACTATACTGCTGTGGAAATATATTTTCTATATACTATACTTTTGACATACTATACTGCTGTGGAAACTAGAGTCTTCAGGTTGCAATCACAGAGAATCTTGGTATTGTGTGCTAAAGAAAGACTGCTTCACTCCTTTTCTGTATGTGTGTGTGTGTATACATATATATATATGTTTGTATGTATGTATGGGTAGAATGTTCAGAAGGAAAAGATTTGCAATAGTAAATGCACTGAATTACTATTTCCAGTTGAGTAACACTGGTAATTGCCATGACTTTGGGAAAGTCCTAGTTGCTTGATTATTTTACTTTTAGTTCCTAGTTATTTCCATGGAAAATATTAAAAGGATTTTGCCAAGTTAGCTAGTTTCAGATTTCATTATCAATATGAAAATCAGATCAAATTAGGCCAGAATTATGGCCTTCAGACAGAAGTCCCATCCATCTATCTATATATACATATTTATTTTGATCTATCTTTGAGCATTTTCTATCCAACTTAAAACAGTCTAAAAAAGAATATAAGTTCTGAGACAACAAAGTTTTAGGCCTAGAAAAGATAAGTTTAACTAGATACAGTAAGTTTTTTTTTTTTTTTTGGTGTGTGTGTGGACACTACTAGGAGTCAGGTGAATGGATAGTATCTATCCATTCTATATCTATCAGTATCTATACTCTCTATAGTATGTCTGTGATAAAATACTGACTGTATACTTTCTTTTTTTTCCGCTAGTGGCCACAGATGTCTTCAATTCGAAAAGTTTGGCCATTCAGGCCCAGAAGAAGATCCTTGGAAAAATGGTGTCCAAATCAATAGCAACTACTTTGATAGATGACACCAGCAGTGATGTTTTGGATGAGCTCTACCGAGTGACAAAGGAATACACACAAAATAAAAAGGAAGCGGAGAAGATCATTAAAAACCTAATTAAAATAGTTCTCAAGTTGGCAATTCTCTACAGGAACAACCAATTTAATCAGGAGGAAATAGCCTTGATGGAGAAATTCAAGAAGAAAGTTCATCAGCTGGCTAAGACTGTGGTCAGCTTCCATCAAGTGGATTATACTTTTGACAGGAATTTTTTGTCCAAACTGTTAAATGATTGCAGAGAGCTACTTCATCAAATCATTCAGCGTCACCTAACTGCAAAATCACATGGACGTGTCAACAATGTGTTTGATCATTTCTCTGATTGTGAATTTTTGGCTGCCTTGTATAATCCCTTTGGACCTTATAAACTCCACTTGCAGAAACTTTGTGATGGTGTCAACAAAATGCTGGATGAGGGGAACATATAAGTACTTGGATTAAAGATGACTGCCCATATATTATTTGTAGATGGAACACTGCTGATTTATGAAGGAATAAGGGAGCAAGCAAAAGTGTTTTGGTTTTTTTTTAAGATGTATATTTCAAAAAGATCTTTATAAAACGATTCCTTATCATCAGCTATCTATTGCTATTCACAATCCATCTGGAAGAAAGACTACATGTGCCTCGCCTACGGAAACAGCTGAGTAAAGACAGTAAAACAGAACTGTCCAAGTACAGCACACTTGCAAGATAGCTGCATGAAAAAAATAATGTGTGGCCAGACAATCAAAATCTTGTCTCTTTCATTTACAGAAATGTTTCTAAACTATCAGTTTGATATTGCTGGTAAAAGATTATCACGGTGATGGTAGACTCTATATTTTAAAATGTATATTTGATTCAGTTATAGTCTTTTATGCTCTCTGCACAGATCACAGCTTTCCGTGCTGCCCTTATGTCCATTCTGTTTTTGAATACTCAGATCAATGATGCTGTCCTATAAAGTCTGAGCTGGCTTGTTTGTTTGCAGGCCAGTGATGAAAACTGTATGTCTGCTTACCAGGGGATACTTACAGATTTACACAGATGCCTATTTCCTTTGCTTGTTTCAGGAATTATAATCTGCAGTAAAACAGCCTGACTGGGAAAAAGTATTTCCTAGAAAACATCAGTGCTACTTCATTTTAAACTTTGCATATAAAATTGAAAGGTAAAAGACTTGTCTATGCAAGTTATTATGATATTTTCTAATAAGTCTTTATTGTTTTGAAAAGGTATGGGTCAGTGTGTTTTATGCATCAGGCTGATGTGTGTGATGATGTGAATTCAGAAAGCTTAAGCATCTGAAAATAAATTCCAAGCCAGTTTTATTTTGTGTATAACAAATCTAGAAACAGAAATTAATTTTGTTATTGGGTTACTTGCTGTTTAACTAATGGAAAAGTGTCATCTTGAATCACTTTTTTTTTCTTCTCTCATACCTCTCACCCTCTTGTTCTCCCTCTTCTCCCTGCCTTGCCTTCAAGGAAAACAATGTGACTTTCTAGACACTGTAATATGCTTAAAAGCATGAAGTATATACATTTCAAACATCTAAAGACTTTTTGTTAGAAAGCATATAAAGATTTAGCAGTTTATTTAATTGCCAATGTTTTTGCTGTTTGCTGTGTCTTTTTGTTTTAATGAGTAAACCAAAGAATATTTGCACTCTAAACTTTTCAAGATTTTTTTTTTCCGATTGTTTTTAAATTACAATGAGCAAACAAACCTGGCCAGTGTTGGCAGCCAAAGTGGTACAGCCCCTGTCACATGTCTTAAACATTGCTTTTGACTTTCTAGAGTGGAAGTTCACTCTTATTAATTCAGTCACTAGATTCTGAAGATTACAAGGAAGGAACCAAAAATGTTTAGGAGAAATGTGTGTTCATAGTATCACCTTGTTCAATTTATGCTGTCCAGCAGAGTGGAAAAGATGAATGGACGAGTAATCTGCAGCAGTTAGGAACTGATGTAGTGGCCGCTCTAGAATTTGTCCAGAGTTTAGAAGGTTTGTTTTTATCTGATGGAGTACCAGTAAAATCCCTTTTCTTGTTTTGCTTAGTTATGAATGAATACATTGCACTTTTGTCTGTCAGAATTAATTAATCAGTAGTGCAGCATCATGAAGAAATCTCATAGTGCATAGTTTCTGACTCACTAGTCCTACATACTCTTTTTTCTATCTGGAAAGACAAAAAGTAATGTGTTCTTGCTTTCCTGGTGTTCTTTGGAAAAACACTTTGACTTTTAGAAACTGCAGCTTCCATTTCTCATCATTTACTGATCAAGAAAATAGCGTAGGTTAAACGATTGCTGCTAAATTGTTGATTAGAACCAGGCATACTATACAAATTTGCTGTGTGCACTATGTACACAAACATTAATTTGCTTCAACCATGATCCAGAATATTTTGATTGCTCAAGTTCAGATTTTCTCAGGGACAAAAACTGCTTTCATGCTTTTTCTATATTGTTTACAAACACCTATTTAAATGTATATGAGTAATTATAACAACCAAGTGTCTTTATTTTGAGGCATTCTATTAACTTGTTACTCCATTTTGTTATCTAATTATCTATATACCCTATAGAAAAAGTGAAAAGTGCTTTTCGAAAAGTGATTACAAGCATATAATTTTTTCATGGTTGTCACGTTTTTATTTAGCTCAAAATCTAGTCATGTTTTTTCTGAGATTTTTTCCTGAGTTCTTTTCTATAAAAATAATTCTTATCCCACATCTCAAATACAAAGAAGCAATTTCTTTGATGATTAAAGGAAGTAATCCTACAGGATTTCTAAAGATCTGCTTTTATAAGCAAATGACTTAACACTTAAGCTAAGCTGTAAAATTTTGCAGTTCATATATATTTTTTATGCAGCACACATAAATAATACCCTTAATTACTAATTTTGAGGAGGAAAAAAAAAGTGACAGCAGTTTTCCTTGCTGTATATTAGTATTTGTATTAAAGCATCAGCCATTTACCAAAATGTGATTATTGAATATTATTTGTCTAGCTGAATTTAAAAATGAACAAGTAATAGCAGTATTGCTTAATTATGGATACAATAATGTCCCTTATTGTATTCAGTAAAATAACACTGTGTTTTCATGGGGGAAATGACAGAAATTCTTGAAATACTACAATCTGCTCATCTTGGATTGATTATACAATAGATTCTAAATCTCACTACCATAGATGTTTAAGGTTTGTATTGCTCTTAATTAGTGTTTGATGCCATCAAAATGTACGTTGCCAAAGTTGTGGAAGTTAAAACTATTTTACAGTCTTTCAGAGGAGTTTCAAAGTAGTTAGTAAGACCTTGGATATATTTTGCAACATGCGTCAAACAACTATGGTCTCTGCTGTACAGTGCAAACAAGATACGGAGATGTTACCACTGTCATTTTCCATGTGCCATCTTCACAGGGTTTCATCAGAGCTTTTGACCACTCCTTAGTTACGTTTGCATGCGTGTGTCTATATGCATAGACAAATAAAAAGAAACAATCAGGTAAGTTTCAAACATTATTCTTGCTATAAAACTCCTAAGATTTATCTCCTTTTAGAAGGTCCAGAGATTATTAGCTGAAGTCTGGAAGCTTCCAACAACTGGGGCTTTCAACAGATGGTCTATTGTTTTACCCTATCATTCCCTTGGGACGTTGCATTGTCCTAAGCAATTGTTTTTGATACGATTTGGCTTCAGTTCCTTTCCAGCCACCACTCATATCCACTTGCATGCTATTTACATTGTGACTAAAGGTAAAGTGGAATTCTACATGTACATGTTAAAAGAGACCTTGTCATGCCTGTTTTAATGGTCCAGCAGAAGAGAGAGTCGGTGTTTTCCTCAGAAGTCCCTCACAATCAGTGATATGATGAGAAAGTTGAACAGAATAAACTCATCAGTCAGCTCATCTCCCTCTGCCAAGGTTTTTTCTGTTGCCTTACATGCTTTTTCTGCCTATTGACTCTCAGACAGGTTTATTTCTTCCCTGTCCTTGTTGCCCTGAGGAGAAGAGTATGACGGAATATGTTAACTCTTTGCTAATTTAAAAAAACAGCTCTAAATACCAATTACCATGTTCCTGCAATGTAATTTGAAATCTGAAGGAATAATCTACATCTTGATTTAGTTGTTAGTACTGTTTTGTATGTAATCTATGTCCTTACCATTATAGTAAGCACTGGACCATGATTTCAGTACATGTACCTGTGAAACTTTTTAGATGAAATACAGTATTTTACATACATTCCAGAGGATCTACTTTAGCATGAATATGAAATGAAGACTCCAGTTTGCAATGAATGTTTCTTATTACAACTGTTTTTCAGTGAGATTTGGGCAGGTCAGCCAACATTCACAATTAAGAGGCAAATATCTGTGCTCTGGATAAAACAAAGTCAACCGTCAAAGGAGATTGCAATTGTCCAGAAAATTTTCATGATATGTTATTTCTGCGATTTTCCTAATAGAAGAAACACTGGGGGTAGATGAAAGCTTGCTATCATAAAAAGGCTACCAAAACCAAACCGTGACTACTGTTTGGACCTTTTATTTAGACTATATTATGCAATCGCTATTTTCAGTTTTGCTAAGAAACAATTCTTGCACTTGTTCTTAAAAAAAGTTCTCAAAAATTAATTCGTACTAGATAACTAATGTGTTGGTACCGGAATTTGCAGAAATTACATTGTAACTTTGACATTCCTACTTAAAATATCATACATTTTAGTCCAGAATGCGATTTATTTTCCTTCTGTGAAAATATACAGGTAGTATCTCCTTACAGGCTCTAGAGGCTCACTCTGTTACAGGATTGATTGATCTGTATCACAAATCAAGATTTCCTAATGTCTAAGCCACCAAGTCCTGTCTTTTCTTAGTACTCAGTTTTAACAATTATAGTTCTGGTTTCCAGTTTTAAAGCTGACCTGTGGGTGGGACTTTGTTCAATTCTAAAGTTGATGCTTTTGGTTAGGACTTTCCTGAATCAAGAACAGCCATTTTCTTGCTAGTTTGGCAAATAAAGGAGCTGAAAAATAACTTTTCCCAGTCTGTAAACTTCTATTTGCTATCATTGCATATCAGTTCCTGGAGGAACATTCCTTATGACATTCCTTTTATTAAGGAATAAATGGTAAAGAAGTAGCTTATAGCTTTGGGGTGTTTCATGGAGTTGTTTCGCCACACTATCAGGCGAAAAAGCAAAATATTAAAAAGAAGAAGAATAGTTAAGATACAAGTTACTTGCCCAGTTTTCCCAGGCAACCAAAAATTACTTGCCCAATTTTCCCAAGCAATAAAAACCTATTTGCTATTTCTGTAACCCAGTGGGAAAATCTTGCTGTGGTAGGTGGAGGACAAAGGTGGAGCTTCCCACAATTATTGTGATATAGATATAAGTTACTTTTGCCATGACACATAAGATCTTCCACTTTCTTCTTTTAAATACTAACATTGGATTTTAAAATTATACTTCCTGTTGGCTTCATGACAAAATAACTCCTATTTCACTTCCTATTTGGGAAATATTTGGGTTTAAAAGAGTTTTTATTATGCACATAAGCTAACAGCCAGTCTGACTTCCATAGAATCTTTTATTTAGCACAGTTATCTCAAC